AATCGATTTTTGATTCTCCCTTTCATCGAAATAAATCGAAACTTTTTTCCCACGTGCAAATCGGGATAACGTAAGTAACGTTGGCTTTCAAACGAAACGGAACATTCTCGCGGAGCAACGTTGGCCAAAAGCTGGCGCGCGTTTTCCGTCCACGCGGCCGAAACCGGACGAATTTACATTTTCGCCGTATTGCACAGAAAATGAGTGCCTCGTAACGAACTGTTTAGCTCGCAAATTATACGCAACATGGGGTGCACCGCCGAGTGTTTGCGTACACACGCCGCGTTTCTAGCTGTGTGCTCCCATTTCCAGCCTGAATTATGCGTCGTTTCGTTATCAATTACGCTTCGCCGCAGCCACGCCTCGAGATATAATACCTGTCAAACAATGCCAATTCGTACCATCTATTCAAACACAAGTTATTGTCCCTTTAATGTCGTTCGATGGTCTGGTTGAATTGAATTTATTTGGATTTTATTTGATCAGATTTACGTGAATATCACTAAGGCAAGGAAAACAATATTAAAGAAGGTCGAGGTTGGTAGGAAATTTTTTTGGTTACTATTGAAATTTTGTAAATATGCAGGACTCTGTAATGTTATCTTTGAATTTGGTCCAATTGAATTTATTTGAAATTGAAACTTACTAAAATATTATAATATTAAAGAAGATCGAAGTGGGAAATGTTTTCGTTATTATTTTCTAGGAAATCACGTGAAAATTATTGTCTCCATAATGGTTAGTCAGAATTTTTTTTCATATTAAAATTTACATCTTATAGCAACTACTGACCAGATATACATTAAATTAGTTACATTCTTAACATTAGTTCTAGGTCAATTTTCGTAGATATTTTGCAGATTAACAAAGATATCAGAGAATTTTAGAAATTTAAACGATCTTTTAAAATGTACAAATAAAAAGTTATATTCTTGTAGTAAAAACTTTTTTTTCATTCCTTTAGTTCTTTTCAACGTGAATTTTGTGCTTCAGTCATCTAACGTTAACATAAATCTTCATATATCATAAAACACGAAGAACGGAATAAAATTACTGAAACTACGAGTTTCTATCGAAACATATGTATACTTCATCGCTTTTTTCCCCCATAAAATATTACGAAAACAGGATATACATCACTTTTACCTATCATACGTCTTTCCATTTAACAACACTGGTAAATCCATCTATAAAATTACAAGTCACATTAAACCTGATTTATAGTTCTGATTTATAGTATCACTAGTGTCAGGACAGGATCACGGGTCAGACATGAAAACGCGGCGTCGATTTATGGGTATACAGAATCTTTAGTAAAGAACGAGACGAACTAGCGTATGGTTAACGCTGGCACGTGGTAAATGCGAAGGAACCAGCGTCACAGGAAGTGGAAGTCACTGAGGTAAGAATGCACGAGTGAATGATTGACGATCACTGAGAGCTACTAAAAATAAG